CCTATAGGACAGAATAGAACTGCCTTATAGAGTTTCCAAGGAGTGGCTGGTGGATTCAAACCGCTGATCTTTTGGTTAGCAGGCATAGCTCTTAACTACTGTGCCACCAGGGCTCCAAAGAGGACATTCAGTTGGCCACCGAACACATGAAAAGATGCTCAATGATATTAGTCATCAGAGAGAAGCAAATCAAAATCACAATGGGATACCATTTCACTCCCATTAGGATGGCTCCAAAGAGGACATTCAGATGGCCACCAAACACATGAAAAGATGCTCAATGATATTAGCCATCAGAGAGAAGCAAATCAAAATCACAATGGGATACCATTTCACTCCCATTAGGATGGCTAAGATCAAAAAAGAAAAACAGAAAATAACAAATGTTGGTGAGGATGTGGAGAAACTGGAACCCTTATTTACTGCTGGTAAGAACGTAAAATGGTATAGCCATTGTGGAAAACAGTGTGGCAGTTCCTGTAAAACAAAAAATAGAACTACCGTATGACCCAGCAGTTCTACTCCTAGGTATATACCCAAAAGATTTGAAAATAGGGACTCAGAGACTTGTACACCAATGTTCATTGCAGCACTATTCACAATAGCAAAAAGGTAGAAACAACCTAAATGCCCATCAATAGATGAATGGATAAACAAAATGTAGTATACATACAATGGAATACTACTCAGCCAGTAAGAGAAATGAAGTCTTGATACGATACGGTATGGATGGAGCTTGAAGACATTATGCTGAGTGAAATAAGTCAATCACAAAAGGAAAAATATTGTATGACCTCACTTATATAAAAAGGCAAGAAAAGGCAAATGTATAGAGATCAAAGTATATTAGTGTTTACCAGGGGTTGGGGCGGGGGGAGGCTGAAAGAGGGGGTTATTGCCTATGGAATACTGAGCTTCAGTTTATGGTGATGGAAAAATCTGATTAATTGAGAGTAAGATTGCACAGTTGATTATTGTAAGTGCCGTCAATAAGCTGTACACCTGTAAAAAGTTGAATTGGCGATAATTGTATGATAGATATATTTACAATGACAAAAAAAAAAGACTATCTGCTGAGGATAGTTACATATAACCAAATATCACATGGCATGTGGTTCCTTGGTTTAGAGGTTTAAGGTCATGGTTTCATGGGACATCCCAGTTAATTGGCCTAATAATGTGTTTAGTGCTTCTGTTCTACCTCCTAGTGCCTGGGGTCTTAATAGCTTGCAAGTGGCCATCCAAGGTACAACAATTTGTCTCAATTCACCTAGAGCAACAGAGGAAGAAGGAGAGTAAGCAATAGGAAGAGGAAATGGAATGTGAGGCAAATTGTCTCCATAAACAACTGCCTCCTTTGCCATGAGACCAGAAGAACTGAATCATGCTGGCTACCATTACTGAACATTTTGTTCAAGGATTCTATAGAAGGAGGCGGGGCCAAGATGGTGGAGTAGTGAGATGCTTCCGGTGAACCCTCTTAAAACAAAGACCCGAAAAAACAAGTGAATCAACTATATATGACAATCTAGGGGCCCTGTACATCTAAGGCAAAGTTGAGGAACCAGACTGAGTGGCAGAGGAAGGGAGAAACGGTTCGGAAGTAGCGAGAAGTTGCCAGACCTAACCTGGTGAGAGCCTGAGCCCTTTAGGCCTGATCAGCTCATGGGTGAGTGGTGAGGCAGGAAGCAGCAGTGCTTAGGAGGCGCGTTTTCCACACTGGGAGAGACCCAGCACCAGAGAGTCTACTCGGCCACCCAGAACCAGTGAGAAGCAGCCCTCAGTTGGCGAAAGGTAAGTACTCGCGTATGACATGGGGATCAAAAACACCCCCCCTTAGGGAAAAACCTCTCTCCCATTTACCTCCCCACTCCTTGCTCTGCACTGGGTCCTGGACAGCTTCAGCAATTACCGAGTCCCCTGTGCCAGAAGTAGGATCCGTCACGTGCCCTGAGCCATTCTCCCAGCCTTGGAAAGTGAACAAATTAACAAACAGGGGAAAAAGTAAACTGCCAGCTCCCCTAAGCCAAGAACCAGGGTAGGCACAGCTCCTTTGCCTAGAAACAGGCATAAGGGATACAAGGACTTTGAGTGCCTTTCTCCCTGCATAGACTTGTGTGGGCCCATTTCAACAGTGTAGGCCCTCATTACTGCAGTACAACAGGGTTTATACCGGAACTCTAACTTCAACTGTTTCAGCTGTGAAGTGGCAGGTTCATGACATTTGACACTGCTCTGCCCATTAAGCAGGGTCTTCACCTATCCACATCAGGGGCCTGAGGACTGGTGGCTCCACCCACACCACCTAGCTACCTGCAATAGGGGCCCAAAAATAAGAGGTGCCCCCCAGTCCTTACAGCTAACAGCATAGGGTGCTCATACCCCAGCTGCAAAACCCACCCACCTATGCGCTCTAGGGAACAGGGTTACGCTTTCCTCCTCATCACTCGAGGGTGGCTGTCAGCCCCCTGCCTTGCCCAGAGTGTGTCCCTCTGCCGTAGCCAGATGTCTGTGTCTACACCAATCACCCATGCCTGTCTAGGACTGCAGGTGAGAGCCTACACCACACACTTGGTGGCTGTCTACATGGGCACCTGAGCTGAATCCATACAGGAGGAGTGGGCAGACTCCTGAGCTCCACTACCTAGTAACAGATCTAACCACCTGGTGACAGGACATTAGAGCTTCAAAGTTGCCAATAATCAAGCTAGCTCACACAAGCAACCTATTTGGGCATATCAAAACAAAACAAGAAGTTAGGACACAGTAAGCAAACATAAAATAAACAAATATAATAACTTATTGATGGCTTGGAGACAACAGTCAATATCCAATCACATAAAGAGGCAATCCATGATGGCTTCAGCAAGCTCTCAAAATAAAGAATCTAGAAATTTTCCAGAGGAGAATTTCTTGGAATTACTGGAAGCAGAATACAAAAGATTAATATACAGAACTCTTCAAGAAATTAGGAAGGAAATTTATTAAAACGCAGAACACACAATAGAGGAAATTAAAAAGATCAGAGAAGAGCATAATGACAAATTTAACAGGCTGCAAGAATCCATACAGAGGCAGCAATCAGAAATCCAGAAGATTAACAATAAAATTTCAGAATTAACAACTCAATGGAAATTCATAGGAGCAGATTTGAGGCAATGGAAGTCAGAGTTAGTGAGATTGAAGATAAAGCACTTGACGCCTACTTATTTGAGGAAAAATCAGATAAAAGGATAAAAAAAGTGAAGATACCCTAAGAATTATGTGGGACTCTATCAAGAGGAATAACCTATGAGTGATTGGACTACCAGAACGGGGACGGGGGATAACAGAAAATACGAAGAGAATTTTTGAAGATTTGTTAGCAGAAAACTTCCCTAATATCATGAAAGATGAGAAGATACCTATCCAAGATGCTCATCGAACCTCACATAAGGTAGATCCCAAAAGAAAGTTACCAAGATGTATTATAATCAAACTTGACAAAACCTAGGATAAAGAGAGAATTTTAAGAGTGGCTAGGGATAAACGAAAAGTCTTCTACAAAGGAGGGTCAATAAGAATAAGCTCGGACTACTCAGCAGAAATCACACAGGCAAGAAAGCAATGGGATGACATATATAAAGCCTTGAAGGAAAAAAACTGCCAGCTAAGAGTTATATATCCAGCAAAACTGTCTCTCAAATATGATGGCGAAATTAGGGCCTTTCCAGATAAACAGAAGTTTAGGGAATTTGTAAAAACCAAACCAGAATTACAAGAAATACTAAAGGGAGTCCTCTGGATAGAATATCAGTAACATCAAGTAACAACCCAAGAGTAGAACACAGGACAGAGCAACCAGATATCAACCCATATAGGGAAGTCACAAAAATAAATCAAAGCTAAAACACTGAAAATAAGGAAACAGATGTCAATATGTAAAAGATGACAACATCAAAACAAAAAAGAGGGACTTAAAAAATGTAGACATAGATTTTGTGTATGGAGAGGAAGTCAAGGCAAT